TCAAGATGTGGTGGATCCACACTACAGAATACAAGTCAGCCGTAAAAACATGAAAGGTTACCATTTACAGCAAAATGGACGGAGTCTGAGGCAATCGTGTGCGGTAAAGCCAGATAGAATGACTGAGAGAAACACTGGAAGCTTCCATAGCAAACAAATCAATAAAGCTAATTACTAATAAAAGCCGCACCTGCTAATAAACAGTGAGGTTTGAGCTTCAGAGGGCGGGGGAAGGGTAATGAGGTGAAAGGGATGAGGTGGGGGAAATCAGTCTCAGGTAGAGACAGGTGTCACGAATAAAAGGCTGGAATGCGGTCAATGTGGGGGGTGCATTACAGACAGTACCTGGGAAGGGTCCCCTGAGAATATTCTTTCACAACGAAGGACGGAACCTCAGGTGCGAAAGCCCTGCGGTGACAGGGTTTGTCTCCATCATGCAGTAGCAGCGAGGCGCCACGTGAAGCCGTGAAGCTGAAATGCTGGCCTGTTTTTCTCAGGGTTGTCGCATGACCCAAGCACATGCATGTTTCCCTTGGCTGGAAACCACGACAGCCGTCCGCTCCATCCCACAAACGCTTCCACTTTCAAGCCCACCCTGAAGCCAACGAACTGGGGGGGGGGCATAACAAGAACGCCGAAACGTGCCCCCCTCCCCGTGACAGGGGCCCCAGAAAGGGCCCAGGCAGGAGGCCCGTGCGCCGAGGCCCAGGCTGCGGGGGCAGGACAAGGGGCGGCGGGGACAGGGCAGGGTCTGGGTGGAAAGAGCCGTCGCGCAGGCGGGGCAGGCGATGGCAGGAAACGTCCTGACAGGGAGGGTTTTAACCCGGGAAGCCGCCCGAGGGGTTTTACTCTCAGAAAACTGTTCAAAGACTGAGACCTGGAGTTTCCATTGTAGGAGAAGTGAGCGGTGGCCCCGAGGCCCGCGCTGTTCCCACAGGGGCGTCTGCTCCCCCCGCCCTCCCCATCCCCTCCCTGGAGGCGCTGACGGGGTGCAGCCTCCGCCTCCGAGAAGCCCCGAGGGGCCCAGGCCGCGGGTTAAGCCTCCTCTGGGGCCTCCGGAGCCCGGGGTCGAGGAGCCGCCTCCCTGCGGGGCGAGGCCTGGGCGGCGGGTCGGGCTGCTCAGACTGGGGGTCGGGCCGTGGCTTCCCTCCTGCCTGCTAGGCCCGGGGAGGGGGGTGTCACCCCAGAAAACCTCATTCTTCCCCAAAGACACCATCACCCACAGTAACAGCCGCGCGGCCCGGGCAGAGCAGCGCCCAGAACCCCCAGGCGCGGCCTCGAGCCACGAGGAGCCGGGAGCAAACTCTGGGGACCCACGGCCGTCAGGGGGTCCCATCAGGCATGAAACTGACCCCCTAGGTGACTCCGTGCTCAAACTGAACCCCAAAGACCCCCAGTTCTCCTCACCAGCCCCCCCCTCTTCTGACCGGACCCTCCTTCAGCCGCCCAGGGAGACGCGCTCGCCCTCCCGCCCGCCCTCCCCCGGCTCACCTCGTCCTCCCGCGACGCGCGGGTCCCGCGGGGTCCTGAGGGGCGCGCCCCGCAGCCCCGACCTCCTCACACGCAGTCCAGGACGCCAGGAAGCCAGAGGGAGCCGCGGGCAGCCGGGGTAGGCCCGTGCAAGCAGCAGGGCGGGCAGGGGGCAGGGGCGTGCAGGGGGGGGGGAGGGGGGCGGGCGGGCCAGACACACCTGGGCGCTCGGTGGCCACGCCCGCCGGGCCGGCTTTTCAGGGTTCAGTGACCCGGGGCCAGAGGCCGCGTCTGCCCCAAAATAATGTCCCCAGAGCCGCGGGCGCCCCTGAAATGGCCAGACGCGTCTATTTGGATTGAAAGACTCGCGCCTGCGCCTCCCTCACGCCCTCCTGGGCGCCGCCCCCCACTGCGCCCGGCGCCCCGCACCCGCCCGCCCCAGGCCGCGCCCCGCCCTGCGCCCTCCTGCGCCCCGGCTCCTTCCCGCGGGCCCGGCCGCCGCGTCTCCCCGCGCCTCGGCCTTGGCACCTCCTCGTCCCCGGCTTCGCTGCTCGCTGGTCCACCGCCCCCCCCCGCAGCCCCCCGGCACCCCATCCCCGGACCCGCACTCACTCCTCTACGTGTTGCTCATGATAGGCCGCTCCGCCCTCGTCCTGCCGCCCCGTCCGGCCCCGCCCGCTCCTCCTCCCGCCATGCCCATCCCGCGCCCTTCCCGGCCCGTCCCTGCCCTCCAGGCCCCGCCCGCTCCTCCTCCCCGCGCCACGCCCGCCCCACGCCCGTCCCGGCCCGTCCCTGCCCTCTGGGCCCCGCCCGCTCCTCCTCCCCGCACCCCCGCGCCTCCCCCCCCCCCCCGCGCCCGTCCCTGCCCTCCGGGCCCCGCCCGCTCCTCCTCCCCGTGCCACGCCTGTCCCTGCCCGTCCCGCCCCCGCCCGCTCCCCATCCCCGCGCCCCCCCCCCGCGCCCCCACGCGCCTCCATGTCAAGCCCGTCACGCCCTCCCTGCCCGTCCCGGCCCCGCACGCTCCTCCTCCCATCGCTCCTGGCGCCGCATCCCGTCCCACCCGTCCCTACCCTTCCCGCCCGGACGCCGCCATCACACTCTCCGCGGCGCCCGCTTCACGGCCTCCCCGCCAGGGGGCGCCTCCGCCGTTTCTCTGCCTTTGTCCCCCCAGGACCCCCCAGCGTTCCTCTGCCCCCCCCCAGTCATGGTCTCCCCTCGAACTGCTGCCCGTCATCATATGGACATAGAGTGATTATTCACCCGTTCCCGAGGGTTTTCCTGTAGATGTTTCCAAACATTTGTTGCTATAAAGCAGGTGTTGGTCAATAGTTTCATACGTAGATTGTATCAGTATTTCCAGCATTTCCTTAGGTCATTTCCCAAAAATATACAATTACTAGAACAGGCAGTAGAAATAGTCTAAGCTCGCAGTTCTCTGCAGAAGGGTGGAGCAGGTGTCCTTTCCTCAGGAATGAATTACAGCACATAGTTCACCTCACCCCGGCCAACATTTCATTCCGTCTCTCCATCCGTCTTCTTCAAGATTTTGATGCTACCTTTGCACTAGAACCAAGGACACAAAAAGTTCCATTAAGTATAAGCAATAAATACTCTAGACTCTCAAAAAGGAACATTAGCTCAGTATACTAGCAAATGAAAAAACTAAACTATCTTAAAGTTTAGGAAGTGAAATAAAAGGGTAAAGAAATAAAAAGAGGTTTTTTCCCCTAATCATGAAATTTTAATGCCACAGGTAATTATCTGTGGATACACTATATGTATACATACTCTCTCTCTCTCACTCTCTCTCTCTCTCTCTCTCTCTCTCTCTCACACACACACACACACACACACACAAAACTTTTCCTGTGTCTCCAACAATCAGTTTGTACTCTATTCCAGTTGCTACTGACACCACTGAGAATGTCTTGATGATAGAATATGTAGGATTGGAGGAAGGTGCTTCTGTATCCTTGTAGCATCCCAAGCAAGTGAGGAAGGAGAAGACACACGGGGCCTAATTTCTGGAGACCCGCTCCTGCTGAATGTCGTGTCAGGAGTCCCTGAAAGGAGAGGATGGCGTTGACGAAAACTTGGGGGGCTGAGGGGAAGTGGAGTGAGGTAGACACAGACACTCTCTCTGGTGCAAGTATCTCCTGCTGAGGGTCTCAGCGGGTCTTTATTTATACAGTAAGGCAAGCGGTGAGATTACATCAACATAAGCATCGAAGCAGAACAAAGACAATCATTACATACTTTCTCATGAATGTACAGAGACTCCCTTGGTCTCATACCAAAAGGGCATTTCTTTGGTTACCTTAAAAAACATGAGGGACAATTAGTTTTCTTAGTACAGCTCATTTTCTAACATGATCAATTATTTCAGACAGCACAACATTTGGTGACAATCATTCTATTAAACTTTCCTAGTTTCAGAGTGGGCGTGAAAGCCCTAGTCTATATTCTATTACTGAAATCAACCTATCTCCTTAGCACTCGATTAACTTGGATAATTTATCAATTACTTCAAAGTGGCCTAAAGAAACTCATCAAATCTAGGTTAGTTCTACTGAAGTCTAACTCTTAACTATAAATACCTAACCTCCACACAGCCTGCGAACTACTGACCCTTTGCATACACCAGGAAATGTACTGCTGCCGTAAACACATACCCCCTGGGTTAGGCTACGGTTTCCAAGCACAGCTGGTTCAGGGCAGCTTGTTCTCCATAATTCTCAGTGCCAAAACATTTCTTTCCTGACTATACCTTTAGCATTTTTTACTTTCTTTAATAATGATTCAAGCGTAAAAACAATAAACCAATTAGCATCTAGGTCCGATTTAGGTTTTTACAAGCATTAGCGTCTAGGTCCGAATTAGGTTTTTACTTCTGCATTAACCAAGAACAAACAGGAGAGCATTAGCAGGCGTTGCCATGGAGACTCCCTAGTTCAGCTCTTCTGGGAAGTGCAAGAACTCCTCTTTCCTCGGGAGTGTCACACAATGCCCAGACCTTGTCAAGAGACAGCATGGGTAGTGCAGCCTGCCCCAACTAATGAAAAAAAATTGGGTTTAGTCAGCATAATCTGGAGACAGCCTGAGCAATCAGCAGGAAGAGCAACTGGCAGGACTAGGAAGTGTCATGGAAGTGGCCACCTCAGGGGAGAGGCATCAGCACTGCCCACCTGATCTATTGAGTAGATGGAAGAATCAAGGTACACACCCACCTTCACATCATAGTGAAGAGTTTCTTCATGGTAGGCAAGTACACTTCAAAAAGATTTCATTGAGAGAGTAAATAATATGATTATCAGACGCTATTCTGATAGGAAAAGGACTAGGCAGCTACAGCTCCAAAGCTGCCTCATGCTTACAGCTCTGTGATTCCAAGGTGTAAGAGGCACACAGCTGAAGGGCTGTTCCTTGGCAACCTGACCTGGTCTGCTGCTCAACAAGCATCAACTCAGACACTCACCTCAGTTTTCTTTGGGGTTCTGAGTTCTACACAGGAAGGCATATAAGACAAGACACCGGCTTCTCAGTGCCCTTTTGTTCATGAGCACATTGGCTGTAGCAGTTTTGGCAGCATGGGGTGTAAGCCACAACCTTCTTCATGCCTATTGAGTGATACAAAATCGCAAGGTTTCATTCAGAGACATTTAAGTGAACTGTACCCGATGGCCACTCGTTTTAACCCTTGATTATCTCCCTGTAATCTTAACTAAGGTACCTTCTACATATTCATTAATATCTGTGGTTCACATAAGATCACATAAGACTTATTCATTTCAGCAGAAACACCCAGATACCCTGCTAACAGAAAAGACTGTCTTCCCAGAACATGAGCATAGCATTGGTATGTTAGGGATACTCAGACCTCAGCCTGCTTCGTTCATATAAAAATTCTTGATACAAAAACTATCTTAAAATCGTAAAGATTCTTCTTTTTTAAAAAAGATTTATTTAGGGAACGCCCCTGGTGGCGCAGGCAGTTGAGTGCCACGCTGTGAAGCTGTCTGCAGTCTCTGCAGCGCTGGTTCGATCCCGGCCAGCCGGTGAGGGTCCCACATGGTGCAGCAGACCTCTCCTGTCTCACCCGCTGCTCCCCTCAGCAGTGTATTTCATCAGTCTGCCTGTTCTGTTCCCTGCTCTGTCTCTGGTGAATCCTCTCACCCTCCCACGCATCTGGCCTGTACCCCGGATCTTGTATAAATAAATAAATAAATAAATAAATAAATAAATAAATCTTTAAAAAATATTTATTTATACAAGAACTGGGGTACAGTCAGAGGCATGGGAGGATGAGAGAATTCACCAGAGACAGAGCGGGAGGCAGAACAGGCAGACGGATCAAAGACACTGCTGAGGGGAGCAGCAGGCAAGGCAGGAGAGTTTGGCCTCACCATGTGGGTTGGCCCTGGCTGGCCAGGGATCGAACCCACACTGCAGAAAGCGGTGGACAGCTTCACAGCATGGCGCTCAACCCACTGTGCCACTGGGGAGTCCCCTGTAAAGGTTCTTCTTGTTCTCTTCCAGTACTTAAGGAAAACAGGCACCTGTCACTGCAAATGTCACAATCTTTCCAATGTACACTGATAAACAAGCACCCTACAAGTTGTTCTATAAAATTAATTACCTGAAGACTCAAGTGAAAGGCTACTTTTAGTGTTGTTACATGTATGACCTTAGCTTATTTACCACAATATGGAAACCATGAAAACTCAACACCAAATATTGGGAACAAACAGTAGAGGAGGTTCACTCTAAACCCACCAGAACAAAGTGACCACTGAGGATGTCCAAGCAATAGCACGTACATTATCCTGGACTCAGAGAGAAAATAATGCCACAGTCACCCACACAGACTCAGCTCACCAATGATTCCAGATGATTCTGAATATTAGCTCTTATAATATTCTAAATTATCTAATGTAAAATAAAATGATCACTACATCTTCCATTATATCGCAGATGCCAGTTTTTCAATTGGCCTCAAATAGTAAAGTCTGCAACTAAAGAATATGACCAATTCCACGGGTCTCAGAGATAACATTTACAAGCCTCTGAGACAATACCCACAATCAGATCCATAATGAAAATATTTTTGGCCACCTTCAAATATAACTTTTAAACATTTATATTAGTATTCCATAACATTAAATGAGCTCAACAAATAATTATGCTTATCCAATATCAAAACAAACTTTGAGGACCTCCCTGGTAGACCAGGGCTTTAAGTCTCAGCACTATCACCACAATGGCCCACAATAATACGGCCTAAGTTAGATCCCCAGCCAGGGAGCTAACCCACAAAGGGCACAGCAGACCTCTCCTGTATTACCACTGCTCTCCTGAGCAGTGTATTTCAGTAGATCTGTCTGCTCTGCTCCCCACTCTGTCTCTGGTAAATCCTCTCATCACCTCACACCTCTGGCCTGCACGCCAGGTCTTCTACACAAAAATAAATAAAATCTTTAAACAAAAAGAAAAACAAACTTTGAATTAGAAATTGGTAGAGTTCTTGTATGCATAAATAAATACAAATGCATAAATAAAAATAAATCTTAAAAAATACCAATGATTCAAAGCAATAAAGCACAGCAATGTTACCATGATCCCAAATGTGGACAGTAATGTCCAGTTTGGGGAGCAAAGGGATCAGAGTGTGGTGGCAGGGAGTACTGGCTACTTCAATGCAGACACACAGATTTACAGCCTGGGGAAGAATTTCTCCAGAAGCCAAGTCATATGTGTTTCCTGTGCAGCTGTTCAATAGCATAATAAGAACTAAACTCCCTATTTTCTACTTACAACTGAGATTCAACCAATGGTATTTATAAGTTTTTTACATTTTTAAATGACCACAATAAATTTTAAAGATGCTGTGTGTATAGCCCAGTCCCTGGCAGACCGCAGGCACTTACCTAACCCTTGTTCACTACCTTGAGTATTCATAGCACTTTCTATGATGGAAAATAATATACACCCTACCAGGCCTCCCTGGTGGCACAGGGTTGAGACACAGACTATGAGGCTCTCCGCAGCCACTGCAGCACAAGTTTGATTCCCCCCGCCTGCCAGGGAGTGGCCCATATGGCGTGGCAACCTCTCCTGGCTCGCTCGCTGCTCCCCTCAGCAGTGTGTTTCAGTTGGTGTGCCTGTTCTGTTCCCTGCCCTGCTCTGGTGGGTCCTCTCACCCTCTTCACATCTGGACTGTGCCCAAGTTCTTGTATGCATAAATGAGTAAATCTTTAAAAAAATACACACCCTCCCATGCTGACATAACTGCTGAAAAAATAGTTATGTACAGACATCATCATTAAATTGAAGTCCACTTATCCAGATGTGTATTCTTTATTAAAACCCAAAGGATCATTCTCAGAAGTGTCTATAAAGGCACACCCCATCCTGCTTGCTTTGCTTTATCAGATACTGCTTTTCACAGATTGAAGATGTGTGGCAACCTGGACTGGAGCAAGTCCAGCAGCACTATTTTCCCAAAAGTATATGCTCACCTCATGTCTCAGTGATATCTAATTAGGGTATTTTCTCATTAGACAAAATACTATTGCACACTTAATAGACTACACTATAGAGCAAACAATTTTTATTCATACCAGGAAACCAACAAAAATGTTGTGACTTGATTTATGCAATATTAGGTTTGTTGTGGTATTCTGGATTTGAACCAACAATATCTTCAAGGTGTGCCTGTACCACCTTTTATTTGGTGCAGTGTAAGTACACCTATTAAAGCAAAGAAATTTATTTTGCTAAGACTGCTGTTTGGAGCTGGCCCTATGTCCACTATGGCAAACCGAATAAAGATGGGAGGCGATCACAGCCTGTGCTTGGATAGAGAAACGCTTGTCACAAAATGCTTAAGAACATGTGTCACGATGAAATAGACCTATTTTCAACTCCATAGAATGTTTTTGTGTTTAGTTTATATCCAAAGGACAATTTAAAAGTGAAGGTAAGGGCCTCCCCGGTGGCGCAGCAGTTGAGCACTGGGCTGCGAAGCTGCCCGAAGCCTCTGCAGCGCCAGTTCGATCCCCAGCCACCGGCAAGGGTCCCACATGGCGCGCAGACCTCTCCTGCCATGCCCACTGCTCCCCTCAGCAGTGTACTTTGTCAGTCTGCCTGTTCTGTTCCCCGCTCTGGCTCTGGGGAATTCTCTCACCCTCCCGCATTTCTGACTGTACCCAGTGCTTGCATAAATAAATAAATAAATCTTTAAAAAAATAAAAATAAAAGTGAAGGTAAGTAAAGGACAGTGCACAGACACCAGCTGGCAGAAAGAGCTGCAAACGCAAAAGGTTTGTGAAAAGAAACACCTGCACAGTCACAGGCAAGCAAGAGAGCTGCCTCGATCTCCAGGGCATTTTTTAAGTAGGACATACATCTTTACACTCAACTTTACATTTGGTCCATTGTAATGACAAAAATAATCAAAATCATTTCAGAGAATGGATGTGCGCTCTTCAATACTGAAAAAGAATTACTAAGAATGATATGCAAGAATCTAAACTTTATAACTATGTAAATAACTTTTTTAAATCTATTCACAAAATGACACAAGTTCACTTGTCACACAAGTTCACAATTGAGAAAATTGTCAACAGAAAAAACATGAATAACAAAACAATCACCATGAATACCAACATCCTGAGGACACTAGTCACTGCTTCTAGTATATTTCCCACTTGTATAGATGAGATAGATCTAAACATTAATAATTAAAGGGGGGCTTATCCTGAATAATACTGCAGGCACTGCTGAGGCATCACTTTCTTATCAATTGTTCTAGATATTCAGGAATTCCCTCTGGTAGGTACAGCACAGCAGCTAAGCCTGCTGTATAGGAATAATTACAGAAAAGTCTATTTTGAAATGCAGTGTCTTAAAAGTAGCAATCACTTTTGGGATTAGAGCTAGTTCTAAAACAATTTAGTAAATTATGTGCAACATTAAAGACAGCATCTGCATGTAACACAATGATACATTAAACTTTTGTTTTAACCTGAGGCTCCTTCCTTATGAAGGAGGAAACCCAACATCCATGGAGCTGTTCTGAGGATGGCCAGAGTCACCCACACTCCTCCCCTCCGCCTGGGCTTGAGGGGGTTTACAGTTTAGCCTCATTTGACAATCTCCGACTCGGACAAAAATATGGAGTCCAAAATCCCTGATCTTTCTCCATATTTGAATGATCTTAACACAAGTTCCTTGTCTCTTTTGGATCTTAGGATTTTCAACTACAGAGTAGGAATAATATCTCTATAGTGCCATCAATGAGATCACATAACTTAAGTAATGAACTTGTTGCACAGGGTCAGGTAATGAATGTCCAGCAGGTGCTCAACAAACATCGATTTCTTTCTCCTACCCTGAAGAGTTCAAAGCAAGCATAAAAGGTTTACAACGGAGCAGGTAATATCAGTTTAACAGATTCTAAATATTAAAAAGTAAGTAGATTATCCACAAAATGTCCACTTTGCAGGTGAATGAGTGATTGTGGCTTATTCACTCTTTAAAATAGGAGGGATCCTCTTAGTGCCAGGTATCAGTAGAGAAAAAATCTCAAGAGCTTAGGAAAGGGCCCTTCAGTGTCTCAGATGATTCCCCACAGAGAAACTTTCTGTCCCCATTGGTGATAGCACCCAGTTGACCCTGCTGTGGGAATCTCGGGTGTGTCCTTTAGTGATACAGAGATGGTCACAGGTTTCAATATACTGAACTGGTGAATACAAACCCATTTTTGAAAACCAAACATTGTAGCCAGAGTGTGGCAGCCGTGTAGCTCTTGGTCATTCAACGCTCAGGAAAGTCTGGATTCTATTCAAGGAGTCTAAAGTTGCCTCCTGAGGCAGTTTCCAGGTGTCAAAGTTCCCTCTTCCAGGTTCTACATGGCCACATCGGCTGCACAACAGTAAGTGACACCTCAGCCCTCAGATGTGGGCCCAGGACCAACATGGGCAGCCCCTCAGACCCCATGAGATATACAGAGCCCCAGGCACCATGCAACCCACTGGGTCAGAAACTTCACCCCAGGGAGACTGGGACACGACACTGCCCTCCTGCCTGCTAGATGGGGAAGGGAAGAGGATGTCAGCCCCAGAAAAGTTTACAATACGTCCCCCAAATTATAAGTCTACAGAAATAAAACACACAGATCAATGGAACAGAGTGGAGAACCCAGAAAACCCACCCCAGGGGTTGATCAGTGTAGCAGGGAGGAGCCAGGAGCAAACACGGGGGACACACTTTCATTCAGGGGTGCTGGGCACCCACGGGGTCACACTCAGGAATGACCTGACCCCCATGTTCCTCCAAGACACAAAATGACCCAAGCAGAGTTCTCCACAGCCAGCCCGCCCAGCCCTGGGTCCTCTCACTCACCGCTCTGCAGTCAGCCACCTGCAGGGAGATGTCCTCACCTTCCCCTCGCTTTGGGGTGGTTCCTGAAGAAACCAGGTTCCCCTAGGCAAGAACTTCATCCTGAGCCCCAAGCAAGTGTCAAGGCGAGCCCGGCCGCTGAAGAGGCAGGAGCCACGCGTAGGCGAGGGGCTGCAGGGGCGGGGAGCAGGGCTGCAGGTGCAGGGGCGGGGAGCAGCAGCAGGTGCGTGGGGTGGGGCTGCAGGTGGTTGGAGCAGGGCTGCAGGAAGGGTGAGTAGGGCTGTAGGTGCGGGTGTACAGGGTGGGGATGTGGGGGCAGAAGCAAGCGGAAAAGCCCCGGGGTGCTCACGGGCTGCGGCCGCCCATCCTGCTACGGCTGAAGTTTAGAAAATCAAACTGAAATACAGGTGAATATCCGACATCTCTGAAAATACTAACCTAAAATTTCCACGTCATTAAAACAGCAAATCGTGTCCATGTGCTTTAAAAACATGCTCAAGAATATTGACCCGCAACCACAGAGGGCCCCCAAAGCCCGCTGCTCACCCCACAGTGAGAGAAGGGGCGTCCTGCTCCGCCTGCCCGGCCTTTCCCGCCCCAGCGCCTCCTCAGGATTCCCCGCGAAGCCGCATTTCCCCGCCTCGCCACCAGGCGGCGCGCGCTCCCCTCACTCCTGTGCTTTGCTCCCGGGGCTTCTCCTTCCTCGGCCAGCGGGCCCGCTCCGCTGGGGTGGGCGTTCCTGGCTTCCGTCTCTGCCACTTCCGCCACCACCCCACGCGTCAGCGCGCAGCCCCGTGACGTCAACACGCAGGGGGTGTGGCGAGTCTGAGGAAGGAGAGGCTCGCGGGGGAAACCAGGGCCGGAGCTGCGGCGCGCGCCGCCTGGTGGCGCGGAGGGGCGGTGCGGCTGAGGTGGGGTAATGGCGGGCGGAGGCTCCAGGGCCCACACTGGGGGCCAGAGCCACGGCCGAGGGGCGGGTCAGCCGGGCGAGGGGAGACGCAGCCGCGGAGAGTGGGGGGGAGGCCCACGCAGAAGGGGAGCAGGAAGCAGGAGTGTGTGCTGGTGTGACGTCAGAGCCTTGAAGATGGGGAGACAGAATGACGTGGAGGCAAGAACCCGCTGAAATCGGGATTCTCGCTCTTTCAGAGAAGAGAACAAATTGGAATCACCCTTCTGCTGGGGAACTTTGAATTTAGATATTAGAATTTGGAATATTATCTATATGTGTATGTATTAAAAGAAATAGTAATTCAGGGCCTCCCCTGGTGGCGCAGCGGTTGAGCGCTGGGCTGCGAAGCTGCCCGCAGCCTCTGCAGCGCCGGTTCGATCCCCGGCCACCACGAGGGTCCCACATGGCACGACAGACCTCTCCTGGCACCCGCTGCTCCCCTCAGCAGTGTACTTCGTCAGTTTGCCTGTTCTGCTCCCGCTCTGGCTCTGGTGAATTCTTTCACCCTCCCATGCTTCTGACTGTACCCAGTGCTTGTATAAATAAATAACTAAATCTTTAAAAAAAAAAAGAAATAGTAATTCAATAGTAATTCCCAATAGTAATTGGGAAATGACCTAAGGAAATGATTTTGTTAGGGGGAAAGGATGTCCTAAGCTAATTCCATGCAGGCTTTGTGGACTCCACCCCCACTCCAGACCAAAGCCAAAAGACATTGGGAAAGACAAATCCTGTCACCACCAAAGGGAAGGTGGCTGGGACCTGAGGGTGGAGTTAAGCAGCCAGGTTTGGTAAAAAAAAACAAACACGTGGGCCTTGAGGGGCTCGCTCTCTCCCTCGCCTCCTGCCTTCACAGCTCCTGGCTTGCGGCCAGCTCTCAGAGTGCAATTTGGGATTCCAGATCGGCGGATCAGGTAGGATGCATTTAAAACTTTGTCTTCCACTTTTCTCTCTGAGTTGTACATTTCCTCATTTGCCCTTCCCTTGTAAATAAACCTTTTATTAACCTTTCGTGTGTGACAGCAGTAGCGTATTAATAAATCCTTTTAAGCGCATGGGTGAGGACCCACAGTCAGGCAACCTGTTTTGTATCGGGGCTGCCCTGTAACAGTTTGAACACAAATAAAAATCTTTATTTGTAAAATGCTAACCAGCATTTTCTTATACTAACAAATACTGGGAACACTCTAAACAAAACTCCAGGAATCACTAAAATATATTACACTATATACATCAAGCAAATGTAGAAATTAGGTACAATAATTCTGAATAGTTTTCAATAACTTGAAAAATATGTATGTTATAATGTTAAATAAAGGAAGAAAGATATAAAATTGTAGGCATAGTGTTATTCCAGATATAAAATAAACATAATATAATTTATTCAAATCTTAAATACCAGACAAAATTAAAATCGTGTGTTAAGTATGCATTTATTGATACACACTTATGATGAATTGTTAAGTATGCATTTATTGATACACACTTATGATGAATTGTCATGAAGGGCAAGGAAAATAATTATAATGACAGACACACATTCGTGCTTAATTAGTTAGGAAGATAATGATATAGTGTGGTTGTACATTTCCTCACTCAGCTAATGCGAGTTTATTTTGTAATTCTACAATTTCACGTTTATAGTCTCTGCCCATACACATGGGTCTTATAGTTCACAGTTCAAAATACTGAAAATTATGAGGAAAAAGGTAAGCTAACTCACAAAACTATCTCTTTTAAAAGATTTATTTATTTATGCATACAAATGCTGGGGTGTAGGCCAAAGGTACAGCGTGTGAGAGGACTCACCAGACACAGAGTGGGGAGTACAACAGGTAGATCCACTGAAATCCACTGCTGAGGGGAGCAGCAGGGAGACAGAAGAGGTCTGCTCTGCCTTGGGAGTCAACTCCATGGCCGGGGATCAAACTCACATCACAGTAGTTGGCAATAGCTTGACAGCGCTGAGACTTTAACCCCTGTACCACCAGGCAAGCATGAAAAGTATTTCTCTTTTGATGAAAAATCACAGCTCACTGTTCCTCAGTGTATTTTATTCTAATGTTCAGATTTTCCACAATGTACACAACTCCTTTTCAGTTTCAGAACCAGCCAACCAAAACTAATTAAAAAATTAGTGCAATCAGTGGTTCAATTAGCCCCCTGTTCCTTGGCAGGTGAAAAGTAACCATAGAATATTTTTTAAAAACAGTCTTCAGAATTCTGTTGTGGTGGGCCTCCCTGGTTAGGACGCAGCCTGTGGAGCTGTCCACAGCCACTGTAGCACAAGTTCAATCCCCAGCCAGAGAGATACCTTCATGGCACAGCAGACCTCTCCTGGTTCCCCACTGCTCCCCGCAGCAGTGTATTTCAGTCAATCTACCTGTTCTGTTCCCCACTCTGTCTCTGGTGAATCCCCTCCCCCCAACAAACACACACTACTGGGCCTGTACCCCAGTTCTGGTATGCATAAATAAATAAACCTTTAAAGAAAAGCATTCTGTTGTGGTTATGTAGCAGGGTGGTACCCAGGAAAGGGGGAGTTCCAGGTCTTGCCCCACCCAAGGGAGGGTGGAGCTGAGCAGAGAGGACAAAAGCAGGACAGGAGACTGGAGAAGGAAGGAGGCAGTGTGGAGAGAAAGATGGAGACCTGGAGGAGACACATGGAGCAAGGAGACATGTGAAGAAACTGTGCTTGCCTTTTGGTCGTGGACTGGGTGAAACAGATGTGGGTGAGAGACCCGTGGGGAGGTGACAATGGAGGTTTTTGTCTTGATTTTGATTTTGTTCTTTTCCTCCCAGACTTGTCTGCTATTTCTGACCCTCTCCTATGGGTCCCCCTGGAAGGTGCTTTGTGGCAGCTTTTGGGCCTTGCTCTGGGCCAATCCCATTTGGCTGGACTTTTGTCTTTTCTGTATTGTTTACTAATTGTATTAAAGTTCCTTTCCATTAAAAGTGTTTTGTCTTGATGTGGCAGATGGCAGAACCTATTTAGAGCAGGCAGATTTGGGGGTTCTGGGGTGCCCCTCTCCCTGCCCTGTAACAGTTATAAAAAATTTAAGGGTGAAAATATGGCATTCCTGATAGTAAAGCAGGGGTGGACAGAGCAGAGCAGCTGCATGTCAGTTAATATCAAGCTCACCTCGTTTTTATTTGTGTTTTGTTTTCTGTTTTATTACTGAGGGGTGATGGATTATTGGAATAGAAAAATTTACAAAGGAAGATACTGTGAGGACAATTTATAAATCTTTATTAACCCAACTATGGAAGGTTCCAGCAATCTAAGGTGGGGTCAGAAAAGATGATCAGCCAGAGGTGGGAGCAGAGAGGATTATCAAACTTAGATGACCAATCCATTCTGACACCAAGGCAATAATTTCCAAAATAATTCCATCAAGGGACCTTATGAAAGAACGCCCCTTACCCTGGCAAAATGCAGCTTTTTTTTTTCTTTCAGAAGCTTGTGTCTATGCAGACGTCTCTCTTTCCTGTTCTCTTTTCCTCAATAAACTTGATGCATGCTAATGAAAAGAACATTACTCAATTATTTGTCAGAGGAATCCAAGAAACCCCCCTATACTGAGCCCTATCACCTGAATTCCATCAAGGGGTTTTCAATTTTTAGTTTGAACTGAGGCTCCTACTCATTTGTCGGTCCAAATGAACACACTTTACCCTTTTTCAATTTTTAAAATATTTATTGTGCTTAGTCAACAAGCTTCATCTAGTTATAGGTAAAAATAAAAAAACGGTGAAAATAATAAGGCACTAATTCAAAGTTCAGACCCTTCCAGCTTTCGATACAAGATGTCTGGGGCCTCTCTCATGGCACAAGGGGGTAAGTCTCAGCACTATCAAGCTACTGGCAGCCACTGTGGCATGAGTTCCATGCCCAGCCTGGGAGCTGGCCCACATGGTGCAGTAGACCTCTCCAGTCTCGCCCACTGATAACCTCAGCAGAGTATCTCTGCATCTCTGGCCTACAACCCATTCTTGTATGCATAAATAAATAAAAATTTTACAAAATAAACAAGTACAAGAGGTCTGAAACTTGTACAAAATTATGGGAAGAAAAAGACAAAATTTTGAATAGAGCAATGACATTTCATAAAACAAAATTTGAAATAACTAATAAAACCTTCCTATGACTAGTTCATTGCCTT